TTGATTATGATTTTAACTGTAGTGTTATTTGATAAAACATTTAAAGTTAATATTTTTAAATTCACTAAATTGCAACTTCATCATTACAAATGTGTCATCATAAATATATTTAAATACATGACATACAAGTTTTAATAGAAATGATACAGAAGTATATAGTTTACCATAAATTCTTGCCAACATGCGACAGTAAACTTTAACCATGTTTCAAAGACAACATAATTATGAAATTACATATAAAGTTCTTAAGTGGGTCAAAAAAGCACTCTTGCATTTTAATATACATTTGAACTAATTAACTAAGCAATACATTCAGTAAGCATATTCTTTTAAAGTATATTATTTCCGGATTAAGTTCTCTTCTTAAAAGTATGCTAAAACGTACTTCTTTTTCACAAGGGATCCCTTTAAGTCTAGTAGGTCTAGTATCTCCAGCATCATCATTGGGAACATTCTAGTACTTTCTGGAGACCGATCTATCAAACCTAAACTTCAAAGAGTTTTATGGACTGCCAGAGTAATGATTAAAACTAGCAAATAAGCCCTTTTGGGTACCCATTGTCCTGTTAACTATCTTGGTCTCTCAGCTCATTGTGCTGATATAGGCCCTCTTGTTTTTCTCATCTCCAATGTTTCACTATCAGATAGAGGAGATGTCCTCTGTTCAGTCCGGTTGTCATGGCCACTGTCTTATTGTTGTGGCAGCTATTTGTGTCTCATGTTGTGTTCAAAGTGATTTGCAATTATTCCACCTTTCAAGGGGTTATTAACAGCTGTGAATATTGAGAATATTGAGCACATAAAGCAGAGCGTTCCTTGAAAGATCCAAGGCTCACTGTTCTGTTGCATGAACGAAACAATTGCTAGTTATAGAAATAAAAAGAAATACAGCTCGTGTTTTCAATACAGAGGAATGACCAGGGACTTTGTCTTTGAATTATAAGTGTTCTACTTACTCCTATACCTTTTGAAAAAAGGATTGTCATATTGTACCCGAATATTGATTTGACCCTGGCCAAATATTATGTTGGTTTCAAGGCGTTCCTCTACTAAATTAACTGTGTGCGGGTTCAGGAGAAGGATCAATAAATCATCATGTCGTTTTACAGTTCTAAATATAGAGCATTGATTAACTCTTAAATCTAAACATGCCTTGATGCATTGAGTATCTCATTAATGAACTGACAGTTGAGGAACTGAGGTCTGGCATATGCTAACTAGGTGCTACTAGTCAACTGAATCTAAAACCTATGTAATGTTTAAGTGAAGCCATTATGTGTATATGAATTTGTATCTGATCCAATGACAAAATGATCTGTATTTGTATCTATATGTTGTAATATAGCCTATAAACTGAACATGCATCCAATCTAAATAAAAGGCCCAATTTTAAATTGTCACTATTTTCACCAAAATATTGTGGTGTTTTCAACAAAGGATTTTTTTTTGAGCACCAAATCAGCATATAAGAATGATTTCTGAAGGATCATGTGACACTGAAGACTGGCGACATGGCTGCCTAAATTCAGCTTTGCCATCAAATATATTAAAACAGAAATCAGTTATTTTAAATTCTAAAAATATTTCACGATATTACTGTTTTTATTGTATTTTAATCAAATAAATGCAGCCCTGATGAGAATAAGAGACTTCTTTCAAAACCAGACTTTCTGGATGGGGTGAGTTTTAAAGTAGAATACAATGGTTTTCAGTGTATTTGAGAGATATTTGAGACATTGAGAGTACCAGCAGTGAATTTCTGATTCTGAATGAAGTCAGCTTTGGCCTTTTGGTCACAGTGAATGATGATTTAGGATTATGGGGCATAGGGTCAGATAGGTTGGTGGTACTGAGGTAAAAACATAAAGGCTGAAAATTGAGAATACTGAATAGCTGTTTGGTTTTGGGTTAAAACCATCATCTGTGGATGCTTAACATGCTTTACACAATTAGGACATGGATAAACAACCTTGCAGATTATTCTGGCCAAGACACACCTGCAGGCTAGGTCTGTCTAGCCCACATGAACAGCAAAGCACTCACTGAATCAACCTTGTACCTTCCTCAACTTTATTTCCAGATGGACTAGTGCACAGACTGTTGAAAATTGCATAGAAGCATAGAATTAGATTGACTTGTCTGTTTTGCAATATGCCTCAGGCGATCAGTGTATGTATTGTGGGCGGCCCGACTAGGGTAAGAGATTTGATTGACAGAATGTTGATCCCATCAACATGTCTTAGTTGTGTAAATCACATTGGGCTCCTATGGACAGTGCAGAGAACAGTGATTCAATATCTGCAATCTCTTTCTAGGCCTGTTTTGAAAAATCTAATCATCATAAAACATCTAAAGCTGAAAAATCCTGCAGCTGCAGGTTTAAAATAAAAGAATCCACTAAACTTTCATTCATTAGCATAACCTGTGCTTAAAATTCAAGACAAAGAATTCCCATTTCGACGCCCTAACCTTTGACCTTCCTGACAATATACACTAACTCAGACTAACCCTTGGTCTTGACCCTCGGCCTTTCAAATCAGAAGCAGCTAAATGAATGCAGTGCGTTTCGGCTAATTAACAAAGACAATACACTCTTATCTCCCCTTTATTTGCATATGATAATACAATTGTCTGAAGCTGAAGTAATAGCTCAATTAAAGCAAGACATAGAAGACCTCAGTTTCTTGACAAGTTTAACTCATTACAGTTATCTAATTATTGCAGGTTAGCGAAGTGTCCAAATTGTTATTGAACCTGGAATGGCTGTGGTCGATGTCGTTGACCAAATACTATTTTGAGTCAGCATTTAAGGGCCTTTACATTGGAGGCTTAAATCATCAGTGTAAGGATTACACAGTAATCCTCTGTGAGTAAATACCCAGCCTGATACATACAGAACGTTATGAATAACTCACTCAGCAAAACTGCGCAACTGTTTTCTAAGAACTGCTAGGATTTCATGTTTTACAGCAAGTGAAATGACTGTCGGTCTGGTAGCGTTCCACACGCAGAATAAAGATTCTCAATTTGTGTGATTTTGTTTCTTTTTCAGCATGAATTGAACACAAAAGTGTTAAATAACACAATTACATGCAATATATGGTTAAATGCATTGATTTGACAGATTATACAACTAATTTATCCTTCCCCCCCCAATATATCAGGTATAAGATCTCTAAGTGCATAAATGACCTCTTTACAGATGCTAAGAAATGTAGCTTCTCCAAAATGCATTTCCAGTAATGGCGATAAAATGCCAAGCTGCTGGAAGCTGCTGAACATTTGCTGTTAAGGCTGGATTTGATATGCCGTACTGCTCTTTAATGACGCTTATTTATCTCTTCATTTTCTGTTTCCACGCACACCCCATTTATACTGGCACAATTTAAAACAGCTTTCCTAGATGATCACAGATGTTGTAAACCTTCCATGCCTCGCGTTCAGGAAATACGTCTTTTAAACTCTGCTTATCTGCTGTAGAAAGCGATACGCATATAAGCCTGCTATTATGTTGATGTTATTCTATTGTTTTTATAGTGAGCTAATGATATTTTCTTTCCCTTAGACTCAGGCGTAACCCTTGAGCAAACCTTTTGGTATTTTTAGATTTTTATGATGACATTATTTATTGTGTTTATTAAGCCGTTTTCTCATGTGGACCGTTAGCTGGTCACCACAATGTTTGTGATAGGTTTAACTATCCTTGTGGGGACTGTTTGGTCCCCACAATGAAGGCAAAATGCGACACTTCATAACCTCTACACACGCTAGCGTTTTCCAGGAATGTATTTTCTTCATCAGGGCTGTTTTCACAAAGCCCTTCTCTCAAACGCACCGGCTTAATGAGCTTTCCCGCTGCCTGACAGACTACAGACAGAGTTTATATTCCTTTTCAGCCGGCTAAAGCCATTCCTGTGAAATAAACAGGAATTCAACATCATTCTGCTGTCTCTTTCTTCTTCCTATATGGTAAATTGGAGTGGAAGATCAATCATCTTAACAACAAAAAAAGAGTTTCTCTGTTTCACAAGGAAGAAAAATGTGGCATTACGCTCTCATGTAATTTGCAGAATATGGCTCTACTGCTTCAGTAAACCCACTAGACACTGTATTAACCTTGGGATGAGAAACTGATCTCCCCCTCAGTGGAAAGTGCTGTACACTGGTTGAGCTTTTTTATAGCCCATATGCAGACTGATTTATATCGGCGAGCAGAGACTGAGATAGAATTGGGTTCGGATGAACTCCTCTGAGGGAAACAGGGGGAAGGATGTCTAAAATGTTACATATTTTACTTTAAAATGACGTCACGGGTTTGTCAGCTAAAGCAGGACTGGCAGGCTGTTAGTCAGACGGAGGAGGAAAGGAGAGAGAGTATGTGAGAGAGAGAGAGAGGGAGAGAGAGAAAGAGAAGCAGTGAGGGTGGATAGCGCGCACAGTGGTGATAACACTATCTATCTATCTATCCAAATGACGAGAGTCGCTTTCACGCGCTCCACTCATCACGCGCGTCCGTGAAGTGATGTTTCATTCCTCACTCTTCTTGTTTTTTTTTTTTTCTCGCGTCACTAATTTATCTGAGCTGTAAAAAGATTGCGAGAACTATCAAAGAGCTTCTTCAGCCGATGTAGGACATGGTTTTGCGCCACGGAAATCTCGATGTTTTAGCTTGCGTTTTTGACTGCGCTCGGTCTCATAACAATGTAGAGAAAGTGCGCGGTGACCGCGAGCGCAGCGCACGGGCGATGTTGACGCTGTCACCTTGCCGTCTGGTTCCCATAGCTTCTTGACTTTTTTCCCAGTGGAGTATAATCAAGACGAACTTGTGAATGTAAAAGAAGGCGGCTGTTGAGAAGCGACTGAACCGTACAGCTGCCCACGCTGCCGCTGGGTCGCTCTGCACATCCGTGCGCACTTCTGAGGAGAAAAACGGCGAGCAACTAAAAAAGGGGACAAGACGCGTCCTTGTTTTTCGTGAATATTTCGCTCTGGAGAGACGTGGAGCTACTTCAAGCTTTCGGTTTCTCGGGATATATAACATTAGAATGCTAGCATCCGTAACATTTGGAGTAAGGTGTCTAACTTAAGGTGACCATTACGCTCTAGCGTCGACGTTTGTTGGAACGCATAAATGGACGAATACCAAGAGGACTGATTCGGAATTGTTGTCTGGAAAAATGTGGCTGAAACGGTGTGTCACACGCAGGTAATAAATATCCCTTTTGAGATCTCTCAGCTAAGGGCTGAATGCATTAAACGAACATTGCCAAAATCCTGTCATCTGTGAAGAGTTTTGTGGCAAGTTGATGCGCGTCATGCTGTTTTCACTTCTCTTGTTTTGAACGCGACGTCTTACTTAAACCTCACAGCTTTGCGTTGGTAATATTCCCGAGGAAACGTTTTAAGTGATGCTGGTTTGTATGAATAACTAGAGGGCTCGTACTTAAACAAGATTGCGAATCGAGTTGAAGTTATTCGCGCAGCGCTCGCTAGGGGTCGCCAAATAACCGCGATGCGATAACCAAAGACTTGACGCGCGCAAATTAGGTCGAGTATCAGCTAAACACACCCTCACATACCACAGTACACCACGCCAGAACAACATTTTCTGTGCGGTCATGACATTTATGCCATTTTATGAATCACATCTCTCACTGTTAGAGTGACATTTTGATCATAAGGTTCAGATGGTGTGCTATTTGTCAGTGGAAAGTCGGGATGAATCAGAATCAGAAAAGCTGTAATGGCCAGGGATTTATTTATGGTTAACAGGAGCTCTTAGCACTTACAGCACATACACAGCAAGAGTAGGATTCAATCCAAAACAGACATTCATGTAACAAATCTTTATTATACATTCCGCATGGACAAAAAGTCAGCCAAATGTTAAGTAATACACTATACGCTCAGGAATTACAACAGTTCACGAGTAAGAACCATAAAGTGGAAGCACTTTTCATTCAAATGTTCATTACTCTAGTTTCCTAGCATTTATGACCCCCATTCCAAAAAAAAGATGAAAACTGAGCAACTACAAGTTCTGTTTTTTTAAAGAGGCAGAATTTGACAGATGTTCTTGCCATTACATCTGTTTAGCAGCTGTTCCAGGGGCATAATGTGGAGAGCATGTTTAAGGTGGGAATGACGATGGAGCCAGGCGAGCGTCATTGTTCATTCTCTACCTGATGTAGGATGCTGCAACATCGTGCATTCACAGGTTCTCCAGAAGGTGCTGTCTTACCATAGTCACATATGATAAAGTGCACATTTTACACAATATATTGTTGCATGTTCTGTTTAGATGTGTTCTTACTTTATAGAGCCATGTCATACGGTCCAGTGGCTGGTTGAGAGTAGTCTTATAGTCAAGTTATTTAGTCAAGAAAATTACATAGTCAAGAATTTTTTTTTTTTTTTTACATTTTTCAAATGTAGCTCAGAAATGTATCTCTTCTTGTTTTTTTATGGCTTTTCTCTGTGCTGCTTTGATTTAAAGCATCAATAAGAATGAAAGTTCGGGTAATCTAGAAATCAATGCGGTAGGGAACAAAGCATTTGAGCAAAACTGTGAGCAATGGCTATTGGAGTTTAGCAGTGTGTTAGATAAGGAGAAAATTAAGTATGAAACTGCTGGTAAACCAGAGGGATTTTTTCACATCTAGGTGATCTGCTGCTAAAAACACAACTAACTACTACGAATTTAGCCTCCCCCATGCATTATATATATCTACATTATTTTTTTAGCTTTACAATACACAGTGGCAATAAGGCACATGCTTTGTTGCACTCCAGAAAGGTCTAAGGTGGATCGGCTGCCAAGTTACCAGACAGCGGGGAATCTCCCTTTAGCAGTTTGGAAAATTCCTCACTATTGCGAGTAGGCTGAATAGCCTTGATGAAGATCATTAGCCGCATCTCTTAATTGCTCCATCAACTACTTTAATATCTTCACATCAAGGTTATGCATCCTCTCACAGCTCCGACGTTCTCTCGAGAGCTTTGATTCTCCAGTGTACCTTGCAGGATTATGCTGATGCTCTCATATTAAAACAGTCTGGCGAATGGGTCCTCATATGCCACAGACTGGGCATGTATCTCAGTGTCCAGTTCACTGACCTGGAAGCCGTTAGGACAGTAAACAGTGATATGGGAATATGGGGAATATCAGCCCGTGTGCTGACCTGAACAGCAGCTGGTTCATTACGGGCTCTGTCGCTGGAAATAATTAGTTTGTCTCTGCTTTGACACAAGCCGTTGGGTAAATTTTATTTTTTTGAAATGTTTAAACGACTTAATTTGATCATATTTTTACATTTTCTTCTTCTCCCTGTCAGATGAGGTTCTCTAAGTGCACACTGTACAGCCGTCAATGTCTTAAATGGCAGCACACAACTATCTCATTACCATGTACACTGTAGCGTGTAATAGCATGACACTTCTGCCATTTTTATACCACTCTTTTCTTGCCGGATGTAAGCTCGCTCGCTCGCACAGTATGCCTGGTTAGTGCGAGGAGTGCTTCTGCTCTTCATTTGACACTCTTGATGGTCTGATATAATGGCAGGACGATTTGATTGCGCCCACCCCCACTTAAACTGTTATGTAACAACGTCTTCAAGGGTTCAATAAGTCAGAAACAACTCCATACCACAGCTAATGGCACAAATGTCAGTAAAGCCGAAGTATCTTAATCAGGAGAGTTTTTAAAGGCCTGAATGAAAAAGTTCTACGATTTCAACCAGGAATAGTCATTCTAAGGTTTTGACTACTTCAAAGGCATAGATAGAACCCGCAATCTTTGGTTACGAGTCCCACTCTCTAACCATTAGGCCACGACTTCCTGGAGAAGGGTAATTAGCTATTGAGCAATGCGAAAACTGCTGATAATACTGAGGGACCTTATATATGAATGCTTAGATAGGTTTCGTATTCCCATAGGTTGATGGGGATCAGCTGAGAGTCAGCTGATGCGAGCTTGACTAACGTGACCTGCCAGAGCTAACGCTACGCTAGATTTGTAAAGTGAAGAAGTATTGTATTATTCCTTAATCACCAGAAAAACTGCCACAAAGACATGATTGCTATCTTCCAGGCTACAACTTTGTTCATTTGCTATCCTATTTGTACATGTATGAATGATTCTGAAGACATTATTTTATGCCTAATCCTGATTTCAAGGTTAGAATTATGGCCAGAGAAAGAAAATAATGCAAACATGCTTATTTACTTATCAACTTGTGTTTATGTAAAGTTATTGGCATTAAATGGAGTATTTGAACATATTGTTCCACTCCTTTGCAGACTTCAAGTAAAACAATTTTGATTGTTTTTTTTTTGTCATTAAAATTTTTGACATTTGACTGCTTTTGTTATTTTGATGAGTGCATTAAAGCTAATATATAATTTAAATGAAAACCAAAACATGTTGGTTTTGAAACCAACATAATTAAATTAGGTGATATTACAACTTTTTTGCAAATCAGCAAAATTTTATTTTTCAAGATGCAGGGATGTGCAATTCCTTTAAGAACCTTTCACATCCATTGCACAAAATGTTCTAGTGAAAAAGGCTCTTCAGATTATTAAACTGTTAAACACTAAGCAAAAATGCTTCTTTCTGTTCACTAAAGGTTCTTTGTGGAACCCAAAATGGATGTTCTATGAAATCACTGCTTGAACCCCATTTTAGAACCTATATTTTTAAGAGTTCACAGTCAGTGTTACTTGTCCAAGTCGAGTCACCATGGCAGCCGAGTGCCCAGTATCCCTCAGCACTGCCTGTTTAACAGGGCAGAAGTGGCACACCTGAACCACACACACACACACACACTCATGTAGCACCTTTGTTCAATCAATACCGCTTCTATAAAGCCTCAAATTTATCCGTCATGGCACAAGACCAACAGTGCCTGCTATCCCTCCAGGGCCATGTCTCTCTCCCTCTCCTTTTTTTCCACACACTTCTTGAAAATGAACAGTAAACACTTTTATATGAGTTTAAAAGGACTCTGAGGATTTCTCCAAACATCCAGGATGTCTAGGTTTGGCCTGAGAGGAAGTCAATGCCTCTAACTAATGAAACTACACATTTAGTAATGAAGAAGCGTATGGTTTCCGTTGTTTAACACTGCATGCGCGCATGCTTTATTGAGCCTGTGGGTCGTGTACACAGTTGTGCTGAGGGATTTTAATAATGGGTCTTTAAATGCCTGTGGCTGTTGAGGCTCTTTTATCTGCAAACTTTTAGTTTGGAAGATCCCTGCAGTACAGATGCAATGCAGATCTTTTCATCCATAATAACAGCTGATCCTCTCCTCCGAGCAATGTTCTGTATTAGACACAGCTAGAGAGTCGGTTGGTGTGTGTGTGTGTACTTTTTTGTTGTTGTTTACTGTGTTAAAGTGCCACTTGACTGTACTTACTTGACCTACTATAACACACACAAACACGAACATATGTAATCCAGCATTGGACACAGTATGTTATTGTCCATTACGAAATGGACAGCAAACAGTTTCTTGTTTACTTCAAAGGCAGTTTAAACCAGTTTACCTTGGCTCAACTGAACCCCGATGAGGAATTGGTTGTTTTTGCTGGATCATTTGTGTATAAATGACTAAGTGGGGGCATTAACGTTCATTTTAACCAGAACATTTGTTTGACAAAGCGTAAAATTGCATCTGAAAATATTCTAGTCTTTACTATTGAATACAAAATGTGTTTAGATTCTGAACAAATCCTCATATCTTTCACAAATCAATTTATAAGCCTTAAAAATCAGTTTATTGCACAGTTCCACTTATTCTTCACATTTATTTGAGAGGCGATCTCCATTTCAACCAATTTAATCCGCTCAATGGCTTCATTCTGCCAATCAGCATAATTATTGGATTAAAATTTGGATCATTCCTCAGGTTGCTGTTTGGCGCTCACTGTAGTATTTGTTGGATCTGATCTGAGCATTGTCTTGGCATTTTGGATTTAATGGGAGTAAACAGAATGTAGAAATATGACATTTCACGATTCAGCCAAACAGCTGTCCTGGGGGAGATGCTGGTGGCATCAGTCCATTATTCATCCACTCAAGAGGAATGAAAACCATTAAATTTATTACGATCAAATTATGTCATAATTGTTCCACTAATCTGCTTTTGTGAATCTGCTAGTAGCAGAGGTGGCAGCTAACTGTAATGGCTCAGAAACTTA